TTCGCTCCATCTAATATGCTTTAAGTACCATCTAATTTCAGATATTGAAAATGCACTCTTTATATTTTGCAATGTTTTAACTTTTATTCATCCAAGAAAAGACACTACCGTCCTTCCCCCTCTTGCAGCCCGTGATCCCCATCACGCACAACCTGGACCCGATCAAGCTCCTGACGGACGACGCGACGATCGCCGGCTGGAACAACGAGGGCCTCCCGTCCGACCGCATGTCCACCGAGAACGCCATCATCCTCACCAACTCCGATCGATGGCCGCTCATTATCGACCCGCAGGTACAAGCTTCCTTGTACCTCCTGAAGTCCTGGAGCTGATTAGCGGGCTAGGCTTCAGGCATTTGTAGATGAGCTCTTTCTTTCCTTCAGAAGATATTCCTAAGCAAAAGACGCTATCTATTGCCCCTCATTATAACTAAATACACATCCATACACAGCTCCAGGGCATCAAGTGGATCAAGGCGAGGTACGGCGAACAGCTGATCGTGGTGCGCCTCGACCAGAAGAACTCCATCGACGTCCTGGAGGCCGCCATCACCCGGGGCGAGACCGTCCTCATCGAGAACCTCCCGGAGAGCCTCGACCCCGTGCTCGACCCGCTCATCGGCAAGAACCTTATCAAGCGCGGCAGGTGAGCGGGGCGGAGAGGGAGGGAGTCGGGGGGGGGGGTAGAGAGGGAGATATATGGGCAAAATGAAAATGAAAAGTTATTTAGTAAAACAGGAACTGAAAGTTTATACAGTTGTCTTAGTAGTGACAGTAGTAAAGTTAGCAGCAGTGTTAATTGCAATTTCCATACGAAAATGTCACTAAATATGCTGTTTTCGCCGAATGCATCCTCCTTTCCCAGAGCACTGAAAATCGGCGACCGGGAAATCGAATACAACGACACGTTCCAGCTGATCCTCCACACCAAGCTGGCCAACCCGCACTACAAGCCCGAACTGCAGGCGCAGTGCACCTTGATCAACTTCACGGTGACGCGCGACGGCCTCGAGGACCAGCTGCTGGCGGAGGTCGTCAAGGCCGAGAGGCCAGACCTGGAGGAGCTCAAGGTAATGCTTGGTGGCTTTTAGATGAGCTATCTGAGGATAACTCCTTGAAAAAATGGTGTCCAGTTATCACCACGCAAACAGGAACCTCACTGCTAACATAGAATCGCCAGCATACATACCGAAGCACTGACAATCAAAGACGCTGTTTTTTCTTGTGTTTCAGTATAACTTGACAAAGCAACAGAACGACTTCAAAATTCAGCTGAAGCACTTGGAAGACGACTTGCTGAGCCGCCTGTCGTCCGCCGGAGGAAACTTCTTGGGAGACACGGCCTTGGTGGAGAATCTGGAGCACACGAAGGCCACGGCGCAGGAGATTCAGGAAAAGGTCATCATATTTTCACCTCGGCCATGGCATATCTTGCGCTGCCTTAGATATAGACTATATTTCATCTGAAACGGAAGATTTTGTCTCGATAATATTTCAGACAGAAAATGTAACCTGAAATGAGCAAACTCACTCACCTCTTTCCTCCGTGTCTGCGCAGGTCGCCGAAGCCCGCAACACGAGCGCGCAGATCGACGAGGCCCGCGAGCTCTACCGGCCCGCCGCCGCCCGAGCCTCCCTCTTGTACTTCATCCTCAACGACCTCCACAAGATCAACCCCATCTACCAGTTCTCTCTTAAGGTTGGTTATCGCCTTTGTTCACTGGGAAACTTCGCCTTAAGATCGGGAGGGTGTGCAAAATATTCATGACTGCTGGACCTACGGCTCAATGGAATTGAAATTCAGCATCGGTATTTCTTTTTGTTACTATATTTTCTTTAAGAAAGTCAATAGAAAAACATTCCCCTCTGGCCTGTCCTCCCGCCAGGCGTTCCGAGTGGTGTTCCAGCAGGCCATCGAGCGCTCGGAGGCGAACGACGAGGTGCGGCTGCGCGTGAACGCCCTCATCGACACCATCACGTACAGCGTGTTCCTCTACACCACCAGAGGACTCTTCGAGAAGGACAAGCTCATCTTCGCCGCCCAGATGACCTTCCAGGCGAGTCACGCCCGTCGCTGTGCGGGGATCGCCTTTCGATTTAATACATTAACTTTACTTCATTTTCATTATTTACTTTTATGAATGATGATTAATGCTTAACATTGCAAGGATTTGTTAATTGATTATTATTGGTTTTATCTGCTATTTTTGTTACTAGACATGCAATATTGCAAGCCTGTTTCTCCTGGTTGCAGCCATTCACATTCATTGAATCCATGTTCTCTCATGAATTTCTATTTCTTTATTTCTGATGATGATATCTGTCTTTCCAAGAAAATAACCAGAATTGAGCTCCTAAGTGTACAAGTCCCATACCATAAAGATTCAAAATGAATTTACTTTGTTTCTAAAATGGCATTGGCGATATTCGACAGCAGATCAAAAAGGTGTTTATCTTTTTTCCAGGTCCTTGCCTCCCAGGGTGAGGTGGGCGCCATCGAGCTGGACCTTCTGCTTCGGTTCCCGATTCAGCCGAACGTGGTTTCGCCCATCGACTTCATCACCAACAACAACTGGGGCGCGATTCGCTCCCTCTCGCAGGTCGACGAATTCAGGTAGAGGCATGGAGTTCCTAAAGCGCAGATATTTATAGGATAAAGCTGTTATGAGTCTCGAAGACGCGATTTTCAGATTCCAGTTTTGATAAACTTAAGCTCTGAGGAATAATTGCCTTGAAGAAAATATTTTTTGGTGTTCCTTCATATCAAAACCTGCCAACACCACACAGGAATCTTGACCGCGACCTGGAGAACAGCGTGAAGCGATGGCGTATGTATTGCGAGTGCGAGGCGCCCGAGAAGGAGAAGCTGCCGGGGGAGTGGAAGGGCAAGTCGGACGTGCAGCGGCTGGTCATCATGAGGGCACTGCGTCCTGACCGCATGACGCATGCCATGCAGTGAGTCGCCTTGGCTTGGATGGCGGAAGGAGGGAGAGGGAGCGAAAGGTTGAAAGAGGAAGGAGTGTCAGAGAAGTGTGTGTGTGTGTGTTGTGTATATATATATATATATATATATATATATATATATATATATATATATATATATATATATATATATATATATATAAACATGCACACATACATGCATACACACACGTGTGTATATGTGTGTGTGTATGTGTTTATATGTACGTATACATATATCTACATATATCACGTTCATGTCATATATACGTCTTATAGATTTCATATGTTTCAAGTATTTCATACATGTGTTATACATGATGATGATGGTGCCAAAACATCCTTATTTTGGTACTTGGAAGGAAACACGATATTGGAACTAGCATTCTTTGGTTAGCTCTTGCTTCATTGCACGTTTGAAGTGATACTCAGATGGAGGCTGCCTTAGCACATCATCTAAGGAATTCCAAAATTTCAATCCTCTATATGCAACTTTTTCTGGGCGTGGGAGGTCCTATACTTTGGGAGTCTTAATGTCTCATGGACGCCTCATGTATCAACTCAGTGTGTGATTCTCCGGAGGCTTTTAGTTGATGAAATCAAACCATTTATGGATATAAAGACACCTGTCTGAAATAAGATTATATTTAGTATTTTTAGCAGTTCGAGTTCTTTGGATAGGTAATTTGTGGTCATTGCATGACCAGTAAGTTTATGATGCGATTTTTTCTTTTATGTCTTCTCGAAGAATTTCAAACTTGTTTTGTTTTCTGCACTATAGACTGCAGAGAAATAAACTATATGTAGAAAATACCTTCAGCAGGTCACGAACATTATATAGAATTCCAGCTACCTTTGATATTTTTACTTTTATATCACTGATGTGGGTCTTCTAAAGTAAGCGACTATCTATAGTAATTCTAAGAAACTTTGCTTCATCATAATTACATTATCTAATTTGATATCTATAGTTGGTCTATAATTCAAGTGATGTGATAGTAGAAAATAGTTTTTTTTCTAATCCAGTTTGAATTAACCCATTATTCATTGTACTAACAAGGTCAGGTAGGTGTTTACTAGGTAAGTATATATCAGTATTGTCTACAAAAATCAAGAATTTCAATTTACGTGAAGACTGAGCAATGTAATTGATGTAAAGTAAGAACAATACAGGGCCAAGTAATGAACCCTGCGGGACCCCATATTTGATATCCCCATATTGTGAAATGCAGTTCTGGTAGTATGTACATTGTTCAAGTAACTTTAAAACCATGCTAATGATGGACCTCGAATACCATACACCCTAAACTTTTGGAAAAGAATATCATGTGATATGGTATCAAACGCCTTGGAGGAAAATATATATATATATATATATATATATATTATATATATAATATTATATATATATATATATATATATATATATATATAGCATAACTTGGTTTATAATAATTTTTTTAACTCGTTTTATCGCACAGCTAGAGTATTTCTATAGGTCCAAGAATAATTTCATACTTATGGTCCTTTTTTATAAATTGTGTCTAGTTTTGATTGATGATTATTGCTGGTGTTATATGGTTTGTGCGCATGCTTCATTTTACAGAATACGCATTCCAAGGACAGTAGTGGTTATATAGGTCAGTAAACTTATTTATAAATATATAGTCTTCATTTACATTTTGTTTCTTTATATATGATTCCCAATCAGCTTCATTTAAGGCTACTTTTAAATTATTTATGGTGAGAGAGAGAGAGAGAGAGAGAGAGAGAGAGAGAGAGAGAGAGAGAGAGAGAGAGAGAGAGAGAGAGAGAGAGAGAGAGAGAGAGAGAGAGAGAGAAAGGGTGTGGGAAAGAGAAAGAGAGTAAATAACAGAAATAAAGTTTCATCAACCAGTCCAGCCACACCTTTCCTCAAAACTGACCCGCCCCTTCGTTCCCTCCCCCAGGCTGTTCATCGAGGAGCGGATGGGGAGGAAGTACGTGGAGGGCGAGAACATCGACTTCTCGCAGAGCTACGAGGAGAGCGGGCCGTCCACGCCGATCTTCTTCATCCTCTCCCCCGGCGTCGACCCTCTCAAGGTCAGCTTATGACAATAAGAAGTAGATTCTACGATCATTTACTGTCACGACTGAATGGCTTACCTTTACGTGGGTTTATCTACGCATAAGGATAACTTGAATTACTGTTCGCAGTGTTATTGTCGATACTCTAAATCAATCTTAGGATTTTTTCACTTTATACGCAGTCACTCTTTCACTCTCACTCTTTCTCACTCTCGATCTATCTCTCTTTCGTTCTCCTCCCTCTCTCTCTCTTTCTATCTCTCCATCTGCGTCTTTAATTCCTCTAACTCTTTCTTTCCTTCTCTTCCTCTTCTCTTTCCTTCCCCCTCCCCTTCCCTTAGTGATGCTCCAAATTTTCGCAGGACGTCGAGCGTCTCGGGTACAGCCTGGGCTACACCTGCGAGAACCGGCGTCTGCACAACGTGTCGCTGGGCCAAGGGCAGGAGAAGGTGGCAGAGGAGGCCATCCAAATCGCAGCCAAGGAGGGACATTGGGTCATCTTGCAGGTGTGTTATTTTAGGCACACACCATAAGTAGTCCATAACTCGTTTTACATCCATGTTTAAGGTTGAATACTATCTGCATGTCAGAAAATAATACGTCATGCCTTTACCAAATGCTTCAACAGACAGAAAAGAAATCGGATTTTATTTTTTTGCAGAACATTCATCTGGTGAGACAATGGCTTCCGCGACTGGAGAAGAAGCTAGAAATCCACGCGGACGGAGCTCACCAAGAGTACAGGGTCTTTATGAGCGCTGAGCCTGCAAGCAAGCCCGAGAACCACATCTTGCCACAGGTCTTTCTTCATTATATGATTTTTCTCTCTGTCATATATAACAAGAAAACATCTGTGATTGGTTTGTCAGAACTTATTCTTAACTTTTTCGTCACCTGCCACAGGGTATCCTGGAGTCCGCCATCAAGATCACCAACGAGCCGCCTCGGGGCATGCAAGCCAACCTCCACAAGGCGCTCAACAACTTCACGCAGGAGACGCTCGAGATGTGCTCCAAAGAGGCCGAATTCAAGTCCCTCTTGTTCTCTCTATGTTACTTCCACGCATGCGTCGCGGAGAGGAGAAAGTTCGGGTCGCAGGGATGGAACAGACCCTACCCCTTCAACACCGGTACATTCGGGGACCAAAGTGGCTATCCTGATATTAGAGAACATAAAAAATTAAACTCGTGTCTCTAAAAGACTATGAAATGATTTATCCTCGTACATCGCTCCCGTTTCCGTAGCGATATATATATACATATAGTCTGTTTCTTTCAGGCGACTTGACCATCAGCGTGAACGTCCTATTCAACTACCTGGAGGCGAACAGCAAGGTTCCCTGGGAGGACCTCCGCTACCTCTTCGGGGAGATCATGTACGGGGGCCACATTACGGACGACTGGGACCGCAGGCTGTGTCGCACGTACCTCGAGGAGTTCCTGCACCCAGACCAGGTAGCTGCGAGATAGGTTTTGTTATATCAGCATTGTCTGTTCGACATAAATCCTCGGATAGTTAGAGGCTTCTGCGTGTTTTGGTCTCATTTTCTGCTCGCAGAGATGTAACCTGTGGTTCTCATATTTTCTTCTAATTAAAAGAGGAAAAACGTACAAAGGAAATATATTAATTTCTCTGAATCTCTCTAAACCCTCGTTAATGAATCAACACCTGAAGCTGGATGGAGAGCTGAACCTCGCGCCAGGCTTCCCAGCGCCCCCCAACTTGGACTACTCGGGCTACCACAGCTACATAGACACGTGTCTCCCCCAAGAATCACCCCACCTGTACGGCCTCCACCCCAACGCCGAGATCGGCTTCCTCACCATGACGTCGGAGCACCTCTTCAAGACGGTGTTCGAGCTCCAGCCGCGAGACATGGGGAACACAAGCGGCGTCGTCATCACAAGGGAGGATAAGGTACGGCCTTCCCTGTGGTCCTTCGATCGCTATTGAACGCCTATAATTATAAAAGCGGCTAGGACAGTAACGTTATCTCTATGATAGCGTTTAGCAATCCTTCCCCTCATTAAGGAAGGAATAATTTCCGGGGTTTATGTACCTCATCCACATTCCGAATTACGCTTTTCAAAACTTTAGGATCTAAGGATTACAAAACCACCCCTCTTGCCTCTTTCAGGTGAAGCAGACCCTGGACGAGATCCTGGAGAAGCTGCCCGAGGAGTTCAACATGTCCGACATCACGGGCAAGGTGGAGGAGCGGACGCCCTACGTCGTGGTCGCCTTCCAGGAGTGCGAGCGGATGAACCTCCTCATCCGCATCATCCGGATGTCTCTCAAGGAGCTCGACTTGGGCTTCAAGGTAAGAGGGAGTCTCTGTTTTTTTTCATTATTAAACTACTATGTTTTAATGTCTACATCCTTATTTATATGTTCGTTCCTATATACTAAAGTATGCCGGTAACAGGGACGTGTGAAGAAACTGAGTAGTAGGTAAGTAGCAAGTATAATATTA